CCTCCCAAGTAGCTGGGATCACAGGCGCCCACCACAAAGCCTGGCTATTTTTTGGTTGCAGCCATCGTTGTTGTTTGGTGGGCCTGGGCTGAATTTGAACCCGCCACCTTGGGTGTATGTGGCTGGCGCCTTAGCCACTTGAGCCACAGGTGCCGAGCCCCCAACCCCTTTTCATCTGAGTGTTTTCTGGGTTCCGTACAACCCTTCTGGAGGTTTACGGGAAATTAAGTGAAGTTAAGATCAAGCTTGATAGTAAAGAAAGGTGCTACAGGACATTAATAATAAAGCATTTAATTTAAAATTGTGGGTTTACTTCAAACCCTCAACGGGGTTTGCGTCTTTAAACCATGAACACTACAGGAAATTAATGAGTCAAGCTTCCTAGTATCTAGTGTCCTCTAGATAAAATCGGCCCTGACTGCCTGGACCTGCCTCTCATGGTTACAAGTCTGCCGTGGGTGGCACAGCTCTACAGAGCCCCTCTCTCTGCCGCTGACATGCGGGGCTCTGAGAATTTCCACAGATGTGCAGCATGGCCTCTGTGGGTGGGACTCAATCTCCTAGGGACTGTGTATATTCTGTGACAGCGTGTGCACCGGGGCAGGGGCAGAGAGAGATTTCGGGAGGACAAAGCAGACTCTGACCACAGCTATTTACAAAGTCGGGAAAACACAGTTCAATTGAATTTCCTCTTCGGTCAACACTGGCCCATTTCCCCTCTCTCCTTACTAAGAGGAAGTTCCGTTTGCTCACAGAAACACAGAATCACACATCCGCCGGCCTGGAAAAGCCCTCGAAGGAAGTTGCTCAGAACAATCTGGACCTTCTGCTGGGGACTTTAATCCGAATTCCCAAGAAGTCTGGAAGTGTCTCATTAGCTCCAGTTGGTTGGAAGAACTCTCTTGATTCCTCCCACATGCCTGGCTGTGTCAAGGGTTAGAGAACAGCTGCCAAGCAGTGGACTGACCAGAGATGGACAGGCATGGCCCCCAGTGATAGTGTGTCCCCTGAATCCATTCTCTCCCACACACTGCTCCACACTCCATCTCCTCCCACCAAAAGTATTCCAACTCCTTGAAGACACTTCTTTCAATCTTTATATCCACCCCTCAGGTAGTCTTGATCCAATCTGCCTCTGGGACCTTTTCCATGGAGAAGCAGCCATCTCCAACATCTATCTTGCAGGAGCCGGTGACCAACCCCACTTCTACTTCCCATCTTGCTAAGAGGCTTCCAAGAGCAAGGTGATGAGCGGGTTCAAATCTGAGTGATTGATGTTAGTCAAGTTCTCTGAAGGTGATAAGATCAGTACTTCCCAGAACTGGTCACTTTGTCAGAATGAAAGGGGGAGAGACATGGCTGGAGATGGCACCAGGGAACAGGGTGGCGGTGTCCTCAGTCACCTCCTCGGGGATCCAAGCTGGGACAAAGTAAAGCACACAGGAGTCTCAGCTGCAGTACTTGGTTTGCTGGGACTGGGAGAGATTCAAACCCACGTGTGGCTTTTCGTGGAAGGAGCAGGCTGCTTCTAGAGTAAATACAGATGGCTTCCGCGCTTATGGGCACCACGCCAAGACACACCTCCAGGCTGAGGTGAGCAGGTGCTAAGACTCCAGAGAGGTCTGGTTTGTTGTCTTCCTGGAAGTGAGACGCTTGCAAATTCTCCTTTCCAAGTTGTCAGAATTCACATCCAAAACGTTGCACCGTACCTTCCACTTCCTTTTCGATTTTCTGTAAGAGCTCTTCTGCATCAGGGCTCTTCGTTTTTTTTAGAGACTGTCTTGCTTTGTCACTCAGACTAGAGTGCAGTGGTGCAATCATAGCTCACTGTAACCTCAACTCCTGGTGTCAAGCAATCCTCCTGCCCCAGCCTCCCAAGTAGCTGGGACTGCAGACGTGCACCATGGTGCCCAGCCCTGCATACTCATCTCTTTCGTTTTCACCCATTTCCAAGAAAAGTTGTCCATTTCCCTTTGTAACCTTAACAGCCAACAGCTATTTATGCATGAAATGCCACACACCTGGCACTGTGTTAAACTCTTTTCATACATAATCTCATCTAAACCTCTCAGCACCCTCATGAGTTGTTGTCAAGTCCATGTTACAGATGGGGAAATGAAAATTTTGACAGGGTAAGTAATTTGACCAAGGTCACAGACAATACATCTTAGCATGAAAGTGGACTTGAACCTGAGTCCTGAGTCCTGTCTCCTTAAAGCATCATCACACTTCTCATTATCATCCCCAGTTACAAACAACCACCAGCCCCTGTATCATCAGAAACCTGACCAGCTTCACAAGATTCCTGCAGTTTTGACAATTTATTAGAATGAAAATCATACATCACTTATTTACAGAGCTTTCTGTTCAAGGCATACTCACAACCATTTCCTTGGTAGAACCTCACATCCCTAAGAATTAGACGACTCAGTCATTATTTTCCAGATGAGGAAACTGAGGCTCAAGGAGGAAAAGTGACTTGCCCAAGGTCACACAGCTAGAAACAGCAGAGTCAGAACGAGAACTCTAGGGCTCCCGAAATATGCACAGTTCTTTCACTGTACTATGCTACCTCTTCAATAAATAAATGTACAAAATAAATAAATAAAGGCTTCACGGAACCCCTGAAGAATGCTACCTTGAGCCTGTTTTCAGGGGGAGTTCAGTTATCGACTGCTAGCAAAGGGTGTCTTGGCAGAATGGGAGGGGGCATGGCTGGATTCCCTGGGCCAGGATGTCTGTCTGCAGAAGACAGAGAAACACAGGGCCGAGCGATGGCTCTGGAGGGCATCCACAGGCCGGGGCCCCTCCCAGCCCCAGTGCCTGTGCACACTGAACTGCCTTTACTTGAAGACAGACTCCAAATGGACTGTGAGGAAGCAGGGCCCATACCTGCCCGCTTACTGGCCCAGGCACTGGTACTCTCTCAGCATAATGTCACAGCTTCCTGCTAGATCTGTCATCTGTCAGCATGAGAAAGAAGCTGGCTCTGGGCAGATGGCTTCTGGCGTCCACTTCCTCCCAGTCTAGAGTGGGGCAGGGTCAGCAATGTCACCCTAGATGCCAGCTTGGCTAACATTCAGCATGGAAGACCCCCTAAAAGTGAAGTCCTCATTTCACATGTAGAGGATGAAAGGTCATGCTGAACACTGATGGAGCAGTGACCCCGGCCCAGGGCCCTGTCCTCTGGGTACACAGTTGGACGTTAGCAGCAAACACAAGTGCAGGTCCCAACCCTGACTCTCTGAGGCTGACCTGGGCTGGATGAAGGGCTGAGTTTTGACCAAGAGAAACTTACCATGGTTTCTTGGAACTGTCAGAAAGATGATGGGGTGGCAGGGTGGGGATGTGAGGGGGTTGGTGGCAAGTGCCACAGGGGGATGCTTCCCTGTTTGGGAGAGGGAGAGACATGTCTGCAGGTGGACACCAGAAATATCCCACCAGAGGAACGGGTTCTGAGCTGGAAGCCCCGTTCAGGGTCTTAGCTCCCTGCATCCCCCTGTGGCTCCATCTCCATACTGATGTGCTGATAGGCTGGCTGACTGTGCGGGGAAGATATACCTTAAGACTGGGTGACAAGTTCCCTACTTGAGAGGCCTGCCAGTAGGGAGCTTTTCCACGTGACCATCAAACTCAGCCTCGGCCTTCTCCTTTACTCTCCCCAGAAATGAGGCCTGAAGCAAGGCCCAGAGGCTTCCAGCCTTTCAGCTCTCCCTCCTGCTGGAGGCCCTGAGGCTTGGCAGGCCTAAGGGCAGAGGCCTGAGCTGACTTTAGCCTGATGGCCTCACAACTCCAGAAAACCCTCTTGTTTCCTTGAGCAAATCATCCTTTCCAACACACGAAAGAGTCCAGAGGAGGGGGGAGGTCTCTGCCTGTCCTATCTCAGCATTGCCAGACTACAGGGTCCCAGTCAGCAGAACAGGCCGATGCCACCCAGACTCTCTGTGTAGTTCTGTGAGATGGCCTCTTCCTGACCCAGGCACGCTGGCTAGCCCTATAGGGTCAGCAAGGGCTGGCCCAGGTGGGCTTGCAGGAATGTGCCAGACTGCCTTAGGCTCTACTTCTGAGGGATCCCTAGGGGCCCTCGTTCTGGTGCAGGCAGGGGTGCAGGCATGGCTTAAATCAAAGCAGCTATTTAGCTGAAGTCACTTGAGTGCAGGTTGGAGATCAATGGCAGGAGGACCAGGTCGGAGTTGATGTCTCGTCGAGAGAGTGGATGGTGTCTTGGGTCCCTGCCAAAGTCCAGAGTGGCAAGATCATGTGTCCAGCTCCAGTAAGTTGCAAATTCACTGCCGTAGTCAAGCCCAGGAGTGGCCATTCCTCAGGTGGCTGGTCCCATTGTCCAATTGGGGCCCCTGAGGGAGCCGGAGTCATTCCCCGGGGATCCTGTTTCAAATAGCCCTTGGCCAGGACTGGTGGAGGCCAGCCTGCCTCATCATCCAGGCATGTCCTGAATTTGGGGCCATCTGTCAAGGAGGACTCTTCCTCCAGGCAGCCTGCTCTGGTTGTCCTCTCAGTGCATCTGGTCTGCTTCACGTAGCCCTGGAATGCCACTGAGGCTGGGTCTTCTTCCGGCACCTCAGGTGATGGGGGACTGACACGGCTCAAGGCTAAGCTACCCTGTGTGTCCCCAGCTTGCCCCTCAGAGTTTTGGACTAGGCCAATGCCACTGTCATCCTGGCCTCTGCCATCACCCTCCACCTGCTGCTCCCAGGCGGGCCCCATGCCAGGGCTCAGGTTGGGCTCCTGCAGGCAGATCCCACTGTCTGTGCTGTTGCTGCTGCTGCTGTCTTCCAGCTCTGTCTTTCCCTCTCCTACGGTCCCACCAGCCTCGGGCACAGGGAGGAGGAAGTGGGGATCTTCAGTCTGCAGGGATGGCTTGGTACTGTCAAAGCCACTGTCTGTGCTGCCATGGAGGTCCCAGTTCTTCAGCTCTGGGGACACCTTTGGGAAGGCCTCCTCGTCGAGGGGGTGGATGATGTCTTGGGTCTCTGGGCAGGGAGGCATGCTGACCAGGATGAAGGGCCTGGGCTTCTTAAAGACCTGGGGAGGAGAGAGCAGAGTGAGAGAGGTGGGAGTCACCTGTGGGAAGCCACCCAGTGCTGCCCGGTGAGGCCCTGAGTCCAGGAAGAGAACTGGTATAGGAGGCCTGCAGAGCCTGCACTACCCTGCAATTTATACTGGGTTTTTGTTTGTTTGTTTTATTTTAGAATAAAGTTTTCTTTCTAATGCAATTCTCAGCATGGCTTAGAACAGATACATAAAAAGCTTGGAGCCCAGGAGGAACGACAGGCAAAATGGGAACCTGCTGGGAAAGGTGAAAGCTCTCAGGCGGCTCCATCCACAGTGCTTTCCAAACCTGAGAACAGGCTAGTCCCATCTAGGGGCACATTTCAGACTTTTTGATTATGACCCAAAGTAAGAAATAAACGTCACACAACAACCTATACATGTAACTCATATATAAATAATCAGTTTCATGAAATATTTCATTAGGACCTGTGGGCCATGTCATATTGCCTGCTTATTCTATTTGATTCTGTTTCATTCTACCCATTTCATTTTTTAAAATTCTGGGAGTGAGACACCAAGCTAATTTCCCCATTCCCTGAGTTGTGACCTGCTGCAATATGGGATCTGCTTCCCATTAATTGCTAAGGAGCTCAGAGAAGTCATTTAACCTCTGCCCTGGTCACACTGTGTGCTTTCTGCCCCAGGACACAGCAAGCACAGTGCTGGCTCAGCTTGTTTGCACGTTACTCCTTCTGCTTGGAGTGCTCTTAGCTCTTTGTACGGCTGTGTCCTTACTGTTGGGGTCTCAGCTCGGATGTCACTTCTTCAGAGAGGCCTTCATGACTGGCCTGGCCAACGCAGTGCTCCAGCCACTTTCCACATTAACTTTGTTTACTTCTTCCTACTACTTAGTTCCCGAAATTATTATTTGTTTTCTTCACCCTTACCACACTCACTCACTCCCCACTCTCAAAACAACATCAACTTCTTGAGGGCAGGAATTGTCTAGTTTACTATTCTGCCGCAGCTTAAACTGAGCTAGCATACGGTAGGCACTCATAAGGTTCGTTGATTGACTTACTGACTCACTATTACACATCTTCCCTCATTTCTTTGGTATGAGGATGACTCAAATGCAACTCTTATTGGTTAAGTCCCTATTACTATCACATCCCTTCGTGATTAATGACGTCGACTCTAGAGCCAGACTTCATGGGTTCAAATCCCAGCTCTGCCTCACTGATAAAATGAGGATGCTAACAGCACCTGCCTCAGAGGTACCATGCCTGGGCCTGTCCGTGGCCAACTATAAATAGATACTAACAAAATGACTTGTGGTCACTGAGGGTTGTGGTTACTTAGCACGTGTCTTATCTGGGCTACTAGAAGATGATGTTCTCAGGACTGGGCTTGGTGTTCTCTTCTTCCTTCTGTCCCTACAGTACTTGACAAAGGTACCTCCTGATAATGTCGGGGCTGAGCATGGAAGCAAGTGGAGGGAATAGACTGGTAGGAAAGGAGCTCCCTGCTTTCCTGGGAGCTCTAATGTGGCTAGGAAGGATAGGAGACTTACCAGGACAGAGGGCAGCTTCCCCCGGCGCCGCACATACAGCTGGAGGGCCAGGCAGTAGGCCAGGGCTCCGCAGAGCAGCAGGACGAGGGCAGAGAAGATACAGAGGTTGGTCACGGTAAAATCTGTAGGACAGAGGGATGTGTTTGTGGCCTGGCACACGGGACATGGAGGGACAGTCCCCAGAGATCCTTCAGCAACCTCTAGGCTATCGCCCTAGATATGTTTAGGTTTTTGCACATCTCCGTCTGGCCTTCCAACCCATGCCCTGAAGAAGGCCCTCACTAGATGCACTATTTCCAGCTCTCTGCATATACTCACATGGCAGCAAAAAGAGTAATGAACGAGACAGGACGGTTCAGCAGAGAAGAAGAGAGGCTTTGGGGGACAGCCAGACCTGGGTTCAAATCCCAGGTCACCATTTACTAGCTGTGGGATGTGGACCAATTACTTAAATAAACTGAGGCTCATAGACATGATCCAGAAAATGGGGAAAATTACAGTCCCTACCTCATAAGATGGTTGTGAAGTTCATAGTCCTCATTGTGTACTAAGTACTTATATCATCAGATCTTTACAACCAACTTAGGAGGTAAAAATGTACCACTGTCCCCCAGTTTTACAGATTAGGATCCTGTACACAGAGAAGGTGAGTAACTTGCCCAAGGTCCTATGCCTCATTAAGTGAGAAAGCTAAGATTTCAACAGAACTATATCTGACATCAGTGACTGAACAGCCACCTACCACACAGTCCCTTTCTCTCCATTGAGACTTAAATGACAGTGAGCTGCTGAGTGTCCACCACAACTGAAATCTACTGTAGCTCCATAAAGAGTCACTTCTGTCTTTGCTGGACCCTGCCCACACTGGGCTGGACACTCCCAGAGCACTTATTGTTGGCATGATTCATTGTGCACTTGACAGAGGCTATCTTGGGTTGTCATGGCTTCCTCTGTGCATACTGTACCTCCCCAGCCAGGCTGCAAAGTCCTTGTGGGCAGTGCCACAGCCTCTATATCCTCTCCCATCCCCCGCCTTCCAGCTGGCTGAGAGCCTGGGCAGTTTTTGCTGACTTTAGCAGCTCAGGCGAGAAGTCAGCTCAGTTCTGCTTCCTCTGTGGGGTGCATAAGGAGAAGCCCCTTCTCCCCCTGGCTCTGAGGCAGAACAGCCAAGGACTGGACGATGGGATTAGCACAGTTGATGCCTGGCCTGAGGGTGGCCTGGGAGATGTTGGCTCCTGGGAAACATACTCGTGTTCACCTGTACTCAAGTGGAAAGACCTGACAATCAGGAGACCCAGTTCTTCCACCAAGTCCTATCTGCACAATCTCAGAAAGCTATTTGTGCTAAACCTCAGTTCTCTCATCTCCAAAATGGGTACAACAGAACCTCTCTCATCGGTTATGTGAGGATGGTGAGTGATGTGGGGCAGTGCCTAATACAGTGCCTGGCACCAGTAGCCATGAACAGATGCTCTTTGGATTGCTCCAGGCCCAGTCAACTCAGCAGCCCTGATAAACTCACACTGCTCGCTGAGGACGATGCATTCCTCTTCCGACCACATCCCTCTGTTAGTTCGGGAGCTGACAGATGGTTTCACCATGACACAGAACTTTCCCACTTCTCCAGAGGTTGGAAGGCTAAAGTTTTCGTGTTTTACTTTCTTGTATGTGAACTAAAATGAAAACAGTCACAATTAACAGCAATAAACAAAATCCTCTTATTTCACAGCACACAGAAGCTAAGAGCTGCCGGGGCCTCGAGACGCGATCCCCGCCGAGCCCCTTCACTGTTCTTTATCTAAGACAACAAACTCTGAGATTACTAGTGCAGCCCAAGATCTCTGTGATCACCATAATTGGCTTTGTTGTTGCTTTTTAAAGTTAATGCTCTTGCTGTTCTATTGATTTCTCTATTAAAAGAGAAAAGGGAGTGTCTTATAGACGCTGAAGATCTTTCCAGAAGGGGCTGGACTCAACTGTAGTGGAGAGGAAAGGGGATGGATTTTATAGATTGCAGCTCTCCCACTAACAGGGGTGCCTTCGGGTAAGTTACAGGCTCTCAGAGCCTCATTTCCTCATCTATAAAATGAAATAAAATGTCCACCACCAAGCGATCAGAAGCAATGGTTATAAAGTATCTCAGGTGGTGCCCAGCACATAGTAGCTAGCTCCTTCCACCCATTCTCACAGGGGCACAGCTTTGTGGTCATTTCAGCTACCCCCCTTACCCCCCCCCACCCCACTACTCTGCAGCTAAGTTCCTTGGTGGCATACAAAAGGTGCTTCCAACCCAGGGGACAGGGAAGCCCTGACCCTGTGGCCTTGGGGAACCACATACCTTATTCTTTCCTGCCCCCTTGCGAATAGCAATCTCATACTCGCGGAAGTGAGGGAAGATGCTTTCATACGTGTCGCCTTTGGGGGCTATCTTGGGCCTGGGGAGCTCGATGGTCCCGTGGATGAAATCATCGTACATTTCTAGTTTCACTCCGCCAACTGTCAGAGTCACTGAGTAGGAGAAAGAGACAAAACCATGAGGCCTTGGCGGAAGGGAGGGCGTACTGGGTATCTAGCCCAGGTCTTGGCTCCAGGGGTAAGCCACATCTACTCTAAAATCTAGACCACAGATTTCCCTACCCAGCAGAACGTAAGGACTTCTTGTGGAGCACGTTTAAAAATAGATGCCCTAAAGAACAAATGCATTGACCAATGGAATAGGATAGAGCCTAGAAATTAACCCACATGCCTACAGTCAATTCAAGATCAAGAAAATTGCCAAGAACACACATGGGGAACGGACAGTCTCTTCAAAAATTACCCACGTGGAAAAGAATGAAAAGGGAACCTTATTTCATACTTTATATAAAAATTAACTCAAAATGGATTAGAGACTTCAATATAAGACCCCAAACTATAAATCATTAGAAGAAAACAGGGGAAAAGCTGCATGACATTGGTCTGGACAAAGATTTCTTGGAGATGACCCCAAAGCATAGGCAACTAAAGCAAAAACAGGATTGCACCAAACTAAAAGGCTTCTGCTCAGCAAAGGAAACAGTTAATAGAGCGAGGACAAAACCCATGGGTTAGGAGAAAATATTGTATATCATACATCAGATAATGGTCTAGTATCTAATGTGTATATCATACATCAGATAAGGGTCTAGTATCTAATGTGTACAAGGAACTCAAACTCCTTAATAAGGAAATAAATAACCCTATCAAAAATGAGCACAGGACTTGAATAGACACTTCTCAAAAGAAGACATAAAAATGGCCAACTGATACATGAAAAACTACTAACCATCATCAAGAAATGCAAATTAAAACCACAAATAAAAAGCCGCTGAGCTCTGGCCTGTGGGCAGGCATTTGGGAGCCAATGACCTCCGAGACCCTGCGTTCTAACTCTGAATCCTGCCAAGCAAGCTTACCGTGTGCACAGAACATGCTCAGTCCCAATTTGTGGAATGGAAGAATCCCACTGAGTTCAGGGCTCAGCGTTTTCTCTAGCCCCTCCAGAGAGAGATTCCTCGCTTTTCTTCACTGGCACCTCTGTTTCAAAGGGATAAGCCCTGGCATTTCACCCCTAAAAGGGGTAGCATCTCATCCAAATTTTGCCCACTGCTTGCTGCCCTTGTTTACAGATTTGCTTCCTCTCCCCAAACCCTACAAGTTCACGGGTCTGGCCTCATGACTCAGCTGCCCAGACCCACCCCAAGACCTCCCTTCTATAGTATAAACAACTCCAGTTCCCTTTTAAATCTCAAATGACTCTGGCCATTTTCACCTAACTTTGCACAAACTCCTGCCTCAGGCCCGTTCAGGCAACTAGTTCATGGACCAAGAAGCCTGGCCGGCATGGCGGGCTACCGGGATAGAGAGAAAAGCTCTAGACTAGAGGTTCTGGCTGGAAGGGACTCCGAAAGCCATGTGCTAGGTCTAGGGGAGGAAAAGTACCTTCGTCCACAGAGAATCGGGTATTTGTAAAGGTCCAGTTGGAGTGCCGGCTGCCGTCCACTGCTCGGACTTTGGCCCGGTAACCATTGCTGTGGTACAGGTCCAGGGTCACCATGGTGAGATCACAGGACAGCGCCAGGACCTGGCTACAGTTGGGGATGATATTCCAGCGCTCTATTCCATACCTAAGGAGATAGCAGGGTAGGTGCTGATAGAGGAACCTGGGTTCAAACCTACCTCTTTTATGAGGGAAGCAAGAAGCCAGAAGAGAGAGTTCCCACCGTGGGAGAAACTGGTGCAGCACTCAGGGTATTTCCTCTAGTTGAGGACATCTAATTTCAAGGGGATCTCCTTTGGTTCTGGGACCCTGTACTGATTTTTCTGCGGTCTACGAGACTACTAGATGAGAATGGAAATAGCTCAAGTCCCAACTCTTCCAGAAAACTTGGTACTCCCTGCAACACAGCCTAGTCTCTCCCTTATCCCAGCTGCACTCCCCAACTACATGGTGGAGGCTTTTCCTGCTCTTCTGGTTAGATGGGAAAGCTTTGAGGGCAAAGCTACTACTGTGGCCTTCTCACTCCAGCACCCCCAGTGCACTGCTCAGCAGTCTCAATCAGTTCTTGTTAGCTGATGGATGTATGTGTCGTGGTGGGCAGCAGGGGTAACGGTCCAGCCTCTCACCACCTCCCTCCTTCCTCTATCCTTCCTTTCCTTACCTCTGGAGTGCTACTTCATAGTAGGTATTATTGGACTGATTTGAGATGGGCATCCAGTGGAGGGTGTGGAAGAAAAATTCTGCTTCAAACCACACAGAGGGAGGGCTGGGCAATTCTGTCCCTAAGGAGAAGAGTGTCAGTATCAGAGCTCGGCGAGGCTCCCCTGCCCCAACCCCACTCCCTCCAAGATGAGGAGGGAATGAAGAGGAAGGCAAGTGATAGAACAGCTATCATTTACTGGGTACTTTCCTAGGAACTCAGCATCCCTGCTAAGTCCTTTACATGTAATTCCATTCAGTTATCACAACAGTCCTGCATGGTAGGCACTGAAAACCCCAGTTTTACCAAGAAAGAAAGGGAGGCTCAGAAAGCCTAAGTGACTTGCCCCAGGCAATGGACTTGAATCCAGCTCTGTCTGATTCCAGAGCTAATGTTGAATCCTTATATCACTGCCCTGTGCTGTCTGTGATCAAAAGCCTGAGAAGGGCCAAGGTGGGTCTGACGTATCTCAGGCAAAAAGGCTGGGGGATGGACTATGGCATCGGGCAATAGGCTTTCAGATAAGCAAGGCTTTGGATCTGTCCAACCCCTGTCCCAGCCCCATCCCAGATCAGCCCCCCACAGTCACACCTGGTCTCCAACCTGACCCCAGCCCCGGCTCCAGCCCAAGCCCCTCTTTGGGGTTGTCTGGGTACCCAGACAGACTGCTTGTTGACATCTGTCTGTTTCTTTTCATAGGACATCCCATGCTGAGTGCCTGCCCTATTCCCTAGCTTCTAAAAGGGCACTGCCTATAGCCAGATGCCCGACCTCTAGCTGGGTGAGGACAGACAGACTGGGCTTAGGACATCACAAAGAGCTAGCACACCAGTGAACCGAGTCCCTTGTTTCTAGGAATGCAATAAACACACAAACTTTAAGAGTCATGCCAATCAAGTGAAATGAAGTGTGTGCAAGGTCAATGGCTGGTGGCTTCCACCTCTCTCCTTCTTGATCCCATAGGGTCTCTCCTGGGGCAGCAACTCTGCTCCCACTCCCCTTGTTCTCTAACTTAATATCATCTAATTAGGCTCCTTTTTTTTTTTTGTCCTGACTCTGTCATTCTCACTTAGAAAATACGCCCGTTCCTGTCTCTTGGTTTCTTTCACAAACTGTCTTTGATCCTCAAGTCTGTGTCTCGATTTCAAAACAAGTAAAAAAACGCAGTCAGCCTTTGTGGTGTTTGGGTTGCCCGTGCCTGAGTGAGCTCTCAGTCATGTGAACAGCTGACTGCATGTTTTACTCTGTATTTTGGTATCAGGTCACGTAGAAGTGGTTTCGGTCCCTGCTCTCCTTGTTTCTACTCTTGGTCCCTCTAACCCTAAAGCCCTTTTATTCTCTTTCCCGGTTTATGCTTCTCAGTTGCAGAAACTTTCCAGGGGTGCTGCTGGGTTAGGGGTCTGAGCTAAGGGAGGAGGCAGGCAGGTGGCAGGGGGAGTGAGCTGGGGGATAAAGACCAGGGCAGGGAGGTCAGATGGGGGTAATCAGTGGAGAGGGAGGTGAGATGGGAGAAAGGCATAAAGGGGTTAATTAGGGGGTTAAGGGAGAGGAGAATTCGAAGATCAAAATCACTCCCCACGGGGGCAAGAGGATACTTTATTTGAACCCTAACAGCAAAAAAGCTAGGGCTAAATTCATGGGGTGGGGGGTGTTACCAGCGGGGAAAGGGGGTTATTGGCCCTGCACACACCTTCTCTATCCTTCCCCTCCGTCAATCTCAGGCTCTTCCACTTCCACAACAGGTGACACTGAGACTCTGTGTTGCCAGAGTAAGGTAACCCTCAGCCGGGACGGGGGAGGTAACAGGCGACACTCTCTCCAGAGGGCCTGCTAGAAGGGTTCTCCACAGCAAGAAGAACTTTAATGGAGGGGCGAGGACCAAGTCGGGGCGGGCGCGGAGAGGGCAGGGACGGGTCCCGGAGCCTTACCGTGCGCGCCCAAGCCGAGGCGCGGGCTGAGAAGGCTGAGAAGCGCCGCCAGCAGCACTACCAGGCGCCGCAGCATCCTGAGCGCGCCGCATCGCCGGGAGCCAGAGCCCGCCTGCTCGCCTCCGGCCGCTGCTCGGAACAACTGAGACTGAAACCTCCCGCCGCTGGCCCCGCCCACACCCGCGGGGGTGACGTAAACTGGGCGGGGCCTCGAGACGCCCCGCCCCAGGGTCCGGCATCCCTGAGGAGTCCGGCATCCCTGAGGAGTCCGGCATCCCTGAGGAGTGAGTGTCTGCGCGGCCTGTGTGCGCGACTGTGCCGGACTCAGGCCAGCTTCCCCTGCCCTTACCCCTCAGGGCTCTGTGTCCTCCGGTCAAAGCAGTCCAGGCAGTTTGTACGTGTGCGTGCATACGTGTGTGTGTGTGTGTGTGTGTGGACGCAGGTGGCGAGGGACAGCCTGGCCTCTGTGGGTGTGGAAAGTGGGTGAGTTGTCAGAGATGATTTTACTGGACGAGCAAGCTTGGTCTTGGAGCTGTGGCTGTGGCTGAGGCCTCTCCAAGTTAGGAAAGAAGATTGTCCTAGTTGCTGAGGGCAGGGGTGCGAGGACACCTCTGTGAGTCTAGGTACTGCCCGCCGACCTCCGTGTCGAGTTCTGAGCTAAGCCAACACCCAAGTACGTCGTCCCCTTCCTGACTTAATATTTTTGGAAGTGTGTCCTCGTCTCGCAGCCCCTTTTGGTTTTTCTCGCTTGCCTGCAATCTCATGTTCTGGTCTGTTTTTCTCCTGGGTGATAGATAATGCAGCTGGAAGACGTGGGTCACAGTGGATATCATCCTCAGTCATTCACACCTCTGTGTCACTTGGCTTGTCTGAGACTTACCTCCAGGTGTACCAAAGATGTAAGGGCAAGGGAGACAAACTGTGCACCTCACTTTTATTGGCGGGTGACACCCTAACCCTCACCTATTGGTGTGTGTCTGTGTGTATACACGTATACATGTGTGTGCATGTGTGTGCATGCACGCTTTTGCAGTCCTGTACTTTTTGCAGTGGTGAGTCTGATGGATTTGGATTCAATCATGGTGTTGAGTTCATGCTAGGAGTCTTATTTTCCAAGTGCATATATGTGCTTGGAACTGTGTTTCTGGAGCCCTGCCCTTGTTCTCAGAGGACACTGGGACAGGCCAGGGCTTGGGCTCATCAGCCTCTCCCTGCTCCTGAAAAGTTTCTCCAGAAGTTGGTGCCTGGGGCCAATCTGAGGCTTTATCTACTGATGCTTTTGGGAAAGGGGCCTTAACTTGTATGTACGGGTGTGACTTAGCATTGGGTGTGTGGTGAAGGAGTTAGTGAACAATTATCTCCGTGGTTTGTTGGGAGGGGGATATAAACCTTTAAATGTTTTTAGAGTGGAAATCTATTTTCCCAGTGGTGGACTTAGAGCGTGCCAGGCTGGCTGGGGGTGGGAGTTGGGGGATTTCATCCTGTATCTGAGGGTCTACACTGGGACTAGAAAGGCCTCACTGTTGATAGTGAAGGCTTTAGTTAGAGTTGCCCCAGCTTCGTGGTTAGTAGAATGTTACAGCCACCATCTTACTGGGACACAGGATCAGTCAGGGTCACGGTCAGGGGACTGCTCTTGTTCCCACACCCCCAGATCAGCTGAGAAGACTAAGTGTGAAAATGTTTTTTATATTCTCTATTCCTTGATTGAGAAATTAAGAGAGTAAGTTGCTCAGGAGTACACCGGCATGACCCAAGCGGTGTGGCTGCCTTTTGAAATGACTTTTAGTTCTGGCTGATCTTTTAAAGGAGGAAAACACTGGCTTTACTTTTAGTTTTTTGTTGACTTATAAGAGTTTAAACATCTTACCCCATTGCCATTTAAAGGAAGATCAGCATTCTTCATTCTTGTGAACCCTTACTATACACTCATTATAGACCAGAAACTCAGTAGCATATGGTGATCAAAACACAATTCCTTCTCCCAAGAAACAATCTAAAGTAAACCGAGTTAATATGCTGTGGTAAGTGCTCTGGGAGGGGAAGTACCGGCTGATGTGGGGGGACATAGGGCACAGGCATTCCACTACACTTGGGGTGGAGGATAGGAAAGGCTTCCTGGAGGAGGTGACATCAAAGCTGAGATTTGAGGAAGGGTCGGAGGTCGCTAAGTGAAGAGCAGATAGGGAGGGTCTTCCAGGCAGAGGCAAGTGTATCCTTGGAGATGAGGAGAATGAGGTATTTTTTAAGAACCTGTAAAGGGCATTAATTGGAATTCTTGTCGTAAGAGGAGAAAACCACAATGGCTGACATAGGTTAATACCTTGCTCAGGGCAGAGCCAGCAACTGAATGCGGGCTATTCCAATACATCCCACTGCCTCAGAGCACCCAGAGTAGGAGTCAGGCATGTGATTACTGCACATTTCAAGGAAAAAAGGAAGGCACGTGTTTGGTTTGGTCTGTATTTAGTTATTCATTCTCAGTAGCCTGAAAAGTCCACCCTATGATTCTGTGATTTCTGGTAGCCACACCAGTATAGGGACAGCTGATAGGAAGTAGTAATAGTAGGATCTTCTATTTATTGAGCTATTATGATTTATCAGGCACTATGCTAAATACTTTACACCGTGAAGCAGAGAATGGCCAGATGCTTAGCGATCCCATTTCCACTTCCTGGGCACGTGGCACAGCTATGTCTCCCAGGCTCCCTTGCAGCTAGGTGGAATATGTGGCTGGGTTTTAACCAAGGTGAAATTGAGCTGATAGGTGCCCCTTCCAGACCTGGCTATAACTCTAAGGGGATAGAAGTCGGAGGATAGAAGGTGGTGCAGTCCTTGGATTACCTCCTAGAGCAGTGGTTCTCAACCTTCCTAATGCCACGACCCTTTAATACAGTTCCTCATGTTGTGGTGACCCCCAAGCATAAAATTATTGGGGGTTGGGGGTCACCAAACATGAGGAACTGTATTAAAGGGTCACAGCATTAGGAAGGTTGAGAACCACTGCTCTAGAGCGTAGAGCTGTGCAAGAAAGACCCAGTCTGTATCAACCTTTTAATAGAGTGAGAAGGGAACACTTGTCATATCAAGCCACTGAGATTCTGGAATTTTTGTTACAGCAGCTAATGTTAAGCACCCTGATTAATCTGCAAACATTATCTCATTAAATATTTCAGCCTTGTAGCTACCCCGTGAGATGAACATTATTATCAGGGTTTCACAGATGGGGAAGTGAGGTCTGAGACTAAGTCACTTACGTCACTCAGTAAGCAACAGAGCTATGATTTTAGCCCTGGTCTGTTTCACTTCAGAGCTCATGCTTTCATTACTGTGTGAACAATGCCCTTCCCAATCTTGGGACCGTACTTGAAAGCAACAAATGTCAAGTGAAAAGAGGGAGAGAAAGAGGAATAGTGAGGGCCGAGGGAGGAGGAATGGCTCAGGGCTGAGCATGCCATGGAGAGCAGGGGGATGTGGTGAGCCCCAGGGAAGCTGTGGGCAGAGCTGGGTGAACGTCTTGCTACTGGGAAACTTTTAGGGCAAATTTTCAGCTCTGGATGGTTCCATTTTCACTTTACTTCATCTTGGTCTTCAGGGTGATACTTGCCCATGGGCCTGACTGGGGGATAGGACAGGCCTCAGCGTAAGTAGGAAGTCCATGCTCGAGTGTGGTCACAAGCACAACTTGCAGTTTCTGTCCCTGAACTGATGATTAGGGAAGTTCCAGGACTTGTGATCGTTGTGTCAGAGTTGCACATAGCAGGGAGAGAGAGCCAGAGGGCATGGACCCGAGAAGGAGACAGAAGGAAACCGTCTGGGGAAACCTGGCAACCAGTGGGTAAAGGAGAATGATAGACTCAAGATGAGGGGCTTGCCAAGGGGCAGCCTGGGCCTGCTCAACCCAGCCCCAGGGGAGCCTCTGGCTGTTGTCACCAGACCATAATTAAATGTCCACAGCCCTTCGCCACCTGCCTGAGTAGCAAAGAGCTCAGAAGGGACAACCCCACTGCTGAACCTTCCTCTTTGCTGTGTTTCTATAGCAGCTCAGGTTTGAATGGGGAGTTGCTACAACTTTAGCTAGGTTGGTGGCAGACAACAATGAAAGGTTTGGGGGCAGGACCGGGACCTGCAGGTTGCATTTTAAATAGAAGAGGAAACCTAGTGCATGGAGGTAGGCAGGGTGACTCCCCTGGTTAGTGGTAGAATTAAAACCTATGATGTTTGAATTAAAGTTCTCCTCTCTGTCTGACATGCCATAGCAGCTAAGCTTGTGGAACCGTGAAGACTGAGTGAGGTTGTCGTGCCCATCAGTTTAGAGGAAAGGAAGGAAGTACCGATCTCTCAGGTGAAAGATCTCCCCTGCTAATTCCCTCCAGTCAGCAGAGCTGATTCCCATTCCTGTGATCAGGAGTCTGATGCGAGTTTTCCCTTTCCTGTGATCAGCCTGGGACACTGCTCAAGGTGGGAGCAGCTCATGGGCCTCTAAAAAAATAGGAGACCTACTTCTAGTTTGAGCTTGGCCCCTGCCAGCTGTGTGCCCTTCACCTCTATTCGCCAAGGGCAAGATTAGAATCATTGTAACCTTCCCGGGCTGTTGTAAAGCTGGACATAAACGTGTTCCAAGAACTCATAAGGCTTCTTAAATGACAGGGGGTGTGGTTAGTACACAGAGCCTGTAGTGGTTAGGAGCTAGCCCCTCTCTCCCACTGCCTGGACTTGTGTGGCCTCCCTCTAGGCTGTGCCTCCCACACCACCCTTGGCCAAGGAGGGGGAGGGTTTTTGCTGTACTTGGGACACCTCCCTCCACCAGAGTGATCTTTAAGAAAATCATCTTGTCAGGAGGAGTATGAACCTCGTCCATTGTCATTGCTTTGTAAACTTGGGGTGCAAGGAGTTAGGAATAGAACACCAACCAAATTATCAAGAAACAGTTGCGTCTTCCTTCTGCAGTGTAGAGGGCTCTGACTCCTCTAGTTTTTAAGGGTGTCATTTCCTCTTAATTCTAAAATAACAACAGTCTGAGCTCCCACCCCATAAATGCAGGAAGTCCATCTGCTCTTGGGTTTCCAGTTCCACAGCCATCCTCATGGGCTTACA